TGTATTTTTAGTAGAGACGGGGTTTCACCGTGTTGACCAGGATGGTCTCGATCTCTTGACCTCGTGATCCACCCGCCTCGGCCTCCCAAAGTGCTGGGATTACAAGTTTGAGCCACCGCGCCCGGCCTCTTCATTGTTTCTTACGAAAGTAATTCCAGGGGGGTGGGGCGCAAAAAAAAAAAAAGTAATTCCAATTTTGATTATCACCATCCACAGAAGCCTCAATTTAAAAAAATGTATCTTGTACGAATTGACTACTGGGCAATTATTTATAAGATTAAAATTGTTTATGACTTTCAGTTGCTGGTTTACGGTTAGACAATTAGGCAGAGAGAAATAACTTGCCAAGGCCGGTTGAGGTGGTTCACACCTGTATTTCCAACACTTTGGGAGGCTGAGGGGCGTGAGGGTGGGGAATCGCCTGAGGTCAGGAGTTCGAGACCACCCTGACCAACATGGAGAAACCCTGTCTCTACTGAAAATACAAAATTAGCTGGTTGTGGTGGTGTGCATCTGTAATCCCAGCTACCCGAGAGGCTGAGGCAGGAGAGTCACTTGAAACCAGGAGGTGGAGGTTGCAGTGAGCCGAGATCGAGCCATTGCACTCCAGCCTGGGCAACAGAGAGAGACGAGGTCTTAAAAACAAAAAGGGCCGGGCGCGGTGGCTCAAGCCTGTAATCCCAGCACTTTGGGAGGCCGAGGCGGGTGGATCACGAGGTCAAGAGATCGAGACCATCCTGGTCAACATGGTGAAACCCTGGCTCTACTAAAAATACAAAAAATTAGCCGGGCATGGTGGCACATCCCTGTAATCCCAGCTACTCAGGAGGCTGAGGCAGGAGAATCACTTGAACCTGGAAGAAGGAGGTTGCTGTGAGCCGAGATTGTGGCATTGCACTTCAGCCTGGGCAACAAGAGTGAAACTCCATTTAAAAAAAACAAATAAAACAGGGAGGGGAGCATCACACACTGGGGTCTGTTGGGAGGGGATAGGGGAGGGACAGCGGGAGTAGGAAGGTGAGGGAGGGATCACATGGGGAGAAATGTCAGATACAGGTGACGGGAGGATGGAGGCAGCAAACCACATTGCCGTGTATGTACCTATGCAACAATCCTGCATGTTCTGCACATGTACCCCAGAATCTAAAGTGCAATAAAGTATATATATATATGTATATTTAAAAAAAAAAAAAAAGGATAGCTGGGCGCGGTGGCAGTCACCTGTAATCCCAGCTACTCGGGAGGCTGAGGCAGGAGAATTGCTTGAACCTGGGGACGAAGTATGCAGTAAGCCAGATTACGCCACTGCACTCCAGCCTGGGTGACAGAGTAAGACTCTGTCTCCAAAAAAAAAAAAAAAAAGAGAGAAAAGAAATCACGTGCCCTAGGCAGAACTGTGTAACCCAAGCCTCAATTTGCTCAGGTGTAAAAGATGCATTCTAATCCCAAGAAGTGTTCATTAATTTTTTTAAGTACATGCATATGTGGAACCTAAGGGAGTTATAGCTAACTCTGTTCCCCGCAGTTTTATATAACTTTGACCAGCAGGAGTATTCCTAAAACTAGCTAGATAGGAGAGCTGTTTTATAGAAATTGTGTCTCTTTTTGGTAATGAAACTAGGGGATCTTCTACTTGAAGCCTGAATCAAATATGTAATACCAGCAGGCACAGTGGCTCATGCCTGGAATCCCAGCACTCCGTGAGCCAAGGCGGGTGGATCACCTGAGGTCAGCAGTGCAAGATCAGCTGGCTAACATGGTGAAACCCCATTTCTACTAAAAATACAAAAAAATTATCCAGGTATGGTAGCACAGGCCAGTAATCCCAGCTACTCAGGAGGCTGAGGCAAGAGAATTGCTTGAATCCAGGAGGCAGAGGTTGCAGTGAGCCAAGATCGCACCATTGCACTTCAGCTAGGGCAACAAGAGCAAAACTCCATCTCAAAAAAAAACAAAACAAAAGTAAGACCATGTTGGACCAGGCACGGTTGCTCACGTCTATAATCCCAGCACTTTGGGAGGCCAAGGAGGGAGGATTGCCGGAGCCCAGGCATTTGAGACCAGCCTGGGCAACATAGTGAGAGCTCATCTCTACTAAAAATTTAAAAAAGAAATTAGCCAGACTTGGTGGTACGTGCCTGAAATCCCAAGTATTCAGGAGGCTGAGGCAGGAGGATGGCTTGAGCTGAGGAGTTTTGAGGCATCTGTGAGTCATGATTGTGTCACTGCACTCCAGTCTGGGTGACAGAGTGAGATCATGTCTCATAAAAAAAGGACAAAATGTAACACCATTTTGGTCGTCTTTCCTTCCTTCCTTCCCTCCCTATCTCCCTCCCTCCCTGCTTCTTTCCTTCCTGTTTTTTTTTGAGATGGAGTCTTGCTCTGTCACCCAGACTGCAGTGCAGTCGCCTGATTGATCTCGGCTCACTGCAACCTCTGTCTCCCAGGTTCAAGGGATTCTTGTGCCTCAGCCTCCCTAGTAGCTGGGATTACAGGTGCGTGGCACTACGCTTAGCTGATTTTTGTATTTTTATTAGAGACGGGGTTTCACCATGTTGGCCAGAATGGTCTCGATCTCTTGATCTAGTGATCTGCCCCTCTCAGCCTCCCAAAGTGCTGGGATTACAGGTGTGAGCCACCAAGCCGGGCCATAATACATTTTCTTTAAGTGCCACCTGCTTCTCCCTGATGCTAAGTTTTAGTATCATTTGGGTGGGCGAGGTGGTTTACACCTGTAATTTTAGCACTTTGGGGGGGGCCAAAGGGGGTGGATCACTTGAGGTCAGGAGTTCGAGACCAGCCTGGCCAACATGGTGAAACCCCGTCTCTATTGAAAATACAAAAATTAGCAGGGCATAGTGGTGGGTGCCTGTAGTCCCAGCTACACAGGAGGCTGAGTCACAAGAATCGCTTGAACCCAGGAGGTGGAGTGTGTCGTGAGCCAAAATCATACCATTGCACTCCAGCTGGGGCAACAGAGTGAGATTCCATCTCAAAAAAAAAAAAGTTTTAGCATCATCAGCCAGTGGCTGTATCTTCCTGACTGATCAAGGCAAGGGTTGTGGAGCCTGTGGTGGGATTGGACCCGGTGTAGCTGTTCCTAAAACCCACAGGGAAGGTCACAGCCAGGACGAGTTTCCTGCCAGTGTCTGTGGTCAGAGTGAGGACATAGCTCTCGTCAGGGGAGGAAGTTTCACAAGCCCTACACTCAGGGCCTGATGAAAGGGACTGTGTCCTGGGAGTCCCTGGGCAGCTTGTGAGTGCCAGATGACGGCCTGCAGGTGACTTTGCCACTTTTGACCTCCATCTATCCCTCTTTCAAACGGGAGGATGGGTCTCATTGTACAAGTTGATGAGGGTTTCAGCTGCTTGAAGTTTGGAGCCAGACAGACCCGGCTTTGAGAGTCGTCTCCATCATTTTCCAGTCCTGCTGTGTAGGTCACACACTCAGAGCTTCCCTCTCAGCCTCAATTTCTCCATTCATACGTGGAGAATGATGATTTCCATTTTCTTTCTTTCTTTCTTTCTTTCTTTTTTAAGATGGGGTTTCACCATGATGGCCAGGCTGGTCTTGAACTCCTGACCTCAGGTGACCCACACACCTCAGCCTCCCAAAGTGCTAGGATTACAGGCGTGAGCCACCGCGCCCGGCCTCTTTCTTTCTTTCTTGAGTGCAGTGGCACGAGCTCGGCTCACTGCAATCTCCACCTCCTGGGTTCAAGTGATTCTCCTGCCTCAGCCTCCCAAGTAGCTCAGATTACAGGTGCGTGCCACCACGCCTGGCTAAAATTTGTATTGTTAGTAGAGACAGAGTTTCACCATGTTGGTCAGGCTGGTCTCGAACTCTTGACCTCGTGATCCACCGGCCTCAGCCTCCCAAAGTGCTGGAATTACAGGCATGAGCCACCGCGTCCAGCCTGATGATTTCCATTTTCTTGCCAGTTGGCTGTGAGCTAGGGACACTGGTGGTGGGGATGGGAATGGTGTGTAGCACTCGGTGTCTTCTCTATGTGAGAGCAAAGAGGCACAGAAACCTCAGATGTTGGCTCCCATGGGACAGCCTCTGGTGTCATTGAATGCCAGTTAGAGACAGCAATTTGTCACATTGCCTGTAAAAGCAAATCTAGGCCAGGCACAGTGGCTCACACCTGTAGTCCCAGCACTTTGGGAGGCTGGGGCAGGTGGATCACCTGAGGTCAGGAGTTTCAGACCAGCCTGACCAACGTGGTGAAACCCCATCTCTACTAAAAATACAAAAATTAGCCAAGTATGGTGGTGCGTGCCTGTAATCCCAGCTACTTGGGAGGTGAGACAGGAGAAGTACCTGAACCCAGGACGGGGAGGTTGCTGTGAGCCAAGAT